CCCTGGCGCCGCATCGGACAGCCTGGGACATCCCCGGGTCAGCCTCGGGGCAGCCCTGGGACTGCCCCTGTACGCCCCGGGATAGCCCCGGGGCAGCCCCGGGTCAACCCCGGGACAACCTCGGGACGTCCTCGGGACAGCCCCGGGACCTCCCCGGGACAGCTCCGGACAGCCCCGGGAAAGCCTCGGGACAGCCCCAGGTACGCCCCTGCACATCCCCGGTATAGGCTCGGGACAGCCCCGGGACAACCCCGGGGCAACCCCGGGACAGCCCCGGGTCAACCCGGGATAGCCCCGGGTCAACCCGAGAAAGCCCCGGGACAGCCCCGGGTCAGCTGCGGTACAGGCCCGCGTGTGTCCCGGGACAGCCCCGGGACAGCGTTGGGACAGCCCCGGGACAGCCGCGGGACAACGCCGGGTCAGCCCCGGGACAGCCCCGGGTCAACCCTAGGACAACCCCAAGACGTCCTCGGGACAGCCCAAGACAGCCTCGGGACATCCCCGAGACAGTCTGGGATACCCCGGGACAGCCCGGGATATCTTGAGACAGCCCCGAGAAAGCCCCGGGACAACCCCGGTATAGGCTCGGGACAGTTGCGGGCAGCCCCGGGACAGTCCCGGGCCAACCCGGGACAGCCCCGGATCAGCTCCGGGACAGCTCCGGTACAGGCCCGGGTTAGCCCCGGTACAGGCCTGGGTCATCCCCGGGACAGCCCCTGGAGTGCCCCGGAACAGCCCCGGGGAAGCCCCGAGACAGCCACGGGACATAGCCTGGTCAACCCCAGGTTAGCCATGGGTCAGCCTCGGGAAAGCCCCGGGACAGCCTCGGGTCAACCCCGGGACAACATGGGTACAACCCCGGGACAGCCCCGGGATAACCCCGGGTCAGCCCCGGGATAGCGACGGGACTGACCCAGGACTGCCCTAGTACATCCCCGGGACAGACACGGGACAACCACGAGGCAGCCCTGGGTCAGCCTTGGGACAGCACCAGGGCCGCCCCGGCATAGCCACGTGACAGCTCCGGGTCAGCCACGGGACAGCCTCGGGATAACCCCGGGACAGCTCCGGGAGTGCTGCGGGACAGCCGCGGGATAGCCCGGGGACAGCGCCAGTACAGCTCCGGGGCAGCACCGGGACAGCCCTGGGACAGGCCCGGTACAACATCAGCACAGCCCCAGGGCACCCCTGGGGCACCCCCGGGACAGCCCGGGACAATTCCGGGACAACCCTGGGGCACCCCTGGGAAAGCCCCGGGGACATCCTCGGGGAAGCCCCGGTATAGCCATGGGGACGGCGCCGGGACAGCCCCGGGGTTGCACCGGGACATCCCGAGAAAGCCTCAGGACAGCTCCGGGATAGCCCCAGGGCACCCCCGGGACAGCTCCGGAATACCCTTAACATATAATTGAAAATTCAAATTGGTGAAATAAACAAGGCCTAAGAGTACCTTTGTCATTTACTTTGAAAAGAGAAAGAAAAAAATACAAAAGAAAGAATGTTTTATAATGGGTCTTGGCCTAAAAAATGCCGCTTAGCGAGAAGGAAAAAAAAAATCACACGACCACTTTTGTTTTTTCTCTCGTCGACTTAAGTGTTGTTTCTTTTCGAATACTTCCACGCTTTCTCTGCCAAAACATCATAAACCGTAGAAATGCTTCCTGGTTTTCGTTTCAGTTTCCAGATCTGAACCGTTTTGCAGGTAACAATTTCCCCCTTATTTTCTCCCTCTCCGTTGCGTTTGAATTTCGCATTCACATTTTGCTGTTTCTGCTTCAGGAAGTTCCGTTCAAGCTCGAATTTTCCGTCGAACGAACCTGCATTTTGCGGTAGATCCGAATCTGAGTATGATCTTTCTGGTTGAGGAATTCGTGTTGAAGTTGTGAAAAACTTCGGATTGGTGAGTTGCTGTGAATTTTTCTATTTTTTTTGGGTTTTTTCTCGGAAAGAAATAGTTATGGTTTTGTCAAATGTTGTTGGAAATTGGTAATAAATTGAAGGAAATCAGTTGCATTGAGTTACTTGCGCAGAATCTATTATGGTCGAGTTTCTTTTTCTTTTTTTTTTTTTTTTTTTCTAGAGAACAAAACAGTAGCAAGTTGGAATTGTTGGTTAACGTTTTTGTTCTGTTTTTGTGAAGCTCATTTGTGGGTGAACTTAAATGGAAGATCCAGTAGTACAACCCGGGGAAGACCCAAAGGCGAAACCCCAAGTTCCGCAGAAGCAAGTCCCAGCCGATTCATCGGAAATTGAGAAAGAAGTTGCGAAAGCTGCGAAATCCTCGGGTGCCGCTTCAAAGGTGTCGGCACCGACAAGTTCCGTTAGGAAGAAACTGGAGCCAAAAGGCAGTTTGGATTCTTCTTCGAGTTCGAAGAAATCAACTCTTACTGGCTCCTCGCCGAGTTCCAATTCGGCTCCGAGGGTGAGGCGAAACAGCACCGGCGGATTGGCCGAGAAGGCGACTGTTGCCTCTGCCGCGAAGCAGAACAATGCCGCTGCTGTCGCTGGGAAGAAGAACGCGGAGCCTGTGAGGCGGTCTCTCCACGAACTTAGGAGTTCTTTGCCTACAGTGGCTACGAAGCCTTCGAACAGAACGAGTGCTTCGGAAACTAGAAAGTCAACTCCGGCGACGCCATTGGATCGCAGTTTGAGAAGGTCGACCGATTCTGATGTGACTAAGCACACTTCTGTTAGTAGGTCGTCAGCCAAGCCATCATTATCAGTTTCTTCTGCCTCTTCTGCTTCTTCTTCAAGAAGGGTACCTTCAACTTCGGTAGATAGTACCGGGGGCAGTACAATTGGGAAGACGGTTTCAAAGCTGTCTTCTCCGTCTTCTCGATCACCTACGTTCACTAGTGGATTGAGATCTGCGTCTCTATCATCGTCTTTGGATCGAGGTTCTAATTTATCTGGACGCAGGAAAGCGGCGGCTACTCCCGAAAGCAGGGATTCGAAGTTCATTGTTCTTCCCCAGGTGGAGATAAAAGCCGGTGATGATGTGGTAAGTACCTTGCCCTTTCGATTTTCAAACCTTAAAAACGTTAGTGATCACCATAGCTTTGTTCTTTGGGTTTGTCATTTTTAGCTTTTCTGAGAAATGTTTCTGGAATTCGTTGAAGTGTAGCTCTCGGTGCATTGTATCATCCCCTTTGACAACTGGTTTTATGTATAATTTCTAGATGCAATTCCAAATGCCTTTGCCTGACTATCTGCATTGTTCTTCTCCTATAATTTCCTCTTCAATTCAACATGCAACGAACTGGCGACTTAATTTCTTCTGTATTCATCATCGCTATCAGTGTCTACCTTTTCGCTAGATTAGTTCTTGTTTCTAAATATACTTTATTATATATTCTATCGAATTCATCTTTTTAAGCTGTCCCATGATAAAACCGGAAACCTGTAGTCGTTGATACTTTTTTCTTGGTTCCTTCTTCTCGTTCTTCTGTAACACATACAGCAATGCTATGCAAGTTTTTATGCTTCTGATCCCATGTGTGAATCAGCTGTGGTTGTAAATACTAAATATTTGAAGAAAATACAATTATAGCATGGGTATTATGTTTCCAGTCTTTTCTTATCACTGCTTATCTAACTTATTCTTTCAGAGGCTGGATCTTAGAGGTCACAGGGTCCGCAGTCTCACTGCTAGTGGGTTGAACTTGTCTTCAAATTTGGAGGTAAATTTGTCATGCACATTGGTAACTGTAAACTGAAGAGAGTTTTTGCTATTAGTTTATGTAAAATTTCTTTCCCCCAGTTTGTTGCCTCCTTCACTAATATGAATGGCTATATCAAGCGTAGTTGGGATTTTAAAAGAGACTTTGTTTATGTTAAACTAACACCTTATGATTATTTATGTATTAGACAAAGTACGGAAAAGAAAAGAAGTATTCGGCAACTTTCTCTTCTTTAGACATCTTATGAACGTGAAAACTTGATAAGTATTTTATATAACATTGCTTATCATTCGAGGAGTGCTCGTTGAATTTCATTTCCTCATCTCGAAATTGTTAAATTGTCACAAGCTATGTGGCTTTTATATTGAAGAGATGTGGGTTTGGTATGCTTGGTTCTTTCAGGATTTATTGGTTCTTGAAGCTTAAGCCATTACAATGTGTATCAAAGTGCAATGGCATGTAGTTTTATTAAAATACCCAATTTATGGAAACTATATGAAAGATTGAGTTGTGGTCCAACTGTGGTTTTTATTTTCCAAGGAACTTTTCATACAAGATGGCTACTTATCATGTTACGATGCTAGATGAAAATTGGTGTATTACTTGAAAAGGTTTTTTCCATTTGTCTTCTGGAGAAAAACATTTTCTTTTGTTGAATGATTTTAGTTTGTTCCGTAATGATACTCTTCATTGGCAGTTTTAGTTTGTTCCGTAATGATACTCTTCATTGGCAGTTTGTTTATCTTAGAGACAATCTCTTGTCTACATTGGAGGGAGTGGAGATATTGTCAAGGGTGAAGGTACATTGCAAGTAGACACAAAACTGCCCTTTTATTATGTTCGCCATCTGCTTTAAGAATTCAAATAAACTATGAAGTTATAAACGTTTTGAAGGCTAAAAGCCACACAATAAAGATGCCAACTGACAAATGTATTATGGTATGTTACCTGTAAACTTGTTACTTGATCCATGATGCTTCCTTGTTCTCAGGTTCTTGATTTGAGTTTCAATGATTTCAAAGGGCCAGGATTTGAACCTCTTGAGAATTGCAAAGCCCTACAGGTAATTGTGAATTTGCTATTGAATTTTTGTGTATGGAAGAATGCTGAATTATACATTTGTAATTTATGGAAGTTTATTGCTCGTGTAGCAATTGTATCTAGCTGGAAATCAAATCACATCACTCGCAAGCCTTCCTCAACTTCCTAATCTGGAGGTAGAAATCTGAATTTTGATGTTGCTTATTAGATTTTGTAATTGTCTACTTGGAATGGTACTTTTGTTTGCTTCCAAGTGATAATCTCTTTGTACATTTTGTTTCTTGTTTCTTGTCCCTTGTCTTAGTTTCTCTCAGTTGCTCAGAACAAGTTAAAGTCTCTTTCAATGGCAAGTCAACCACGGTTGCAGGTCTATTTGTTTCTTTAGCTGTTGAAATCTTTGTTATTCGTTCGTCATTGCTCGATGAATTACCTTTGAACTTTTAAATCACGTAATGCAGGTATTAGCTGCTAGCAAAAATAAAATTTCAACACTAAAGGGTTTCCCTCATTTACCTGTCCTTGAGGTTAGCATTCTTGTGCTAAAACTTCCTTCATGTTCATTCATCTAGATCTGAGTCGTTTGGTCAAAGATTATTATTTTGTTACTCCAAGAACAAATATAAGATGACATATTGAAAATAATACCAAATAATCATTCCTTTAAACACTGCAGCATTTGCGAGTTGAGGAGAATCCAATCCTGAAAATGCCTCATTTAGAAGCAGCTTCTATTTTGCTTGTTGGTCCTACGTTGAAAAAGTTCAATGATAGAGGTGTGTTGGGGTAATTGTATTTTTTGTTTTGGCATCTTGATCGCGTTCTTTCTCTTTTTCTTATCTATTGCCCTCTCTCGCTTAACAATTCCACGAATTAGCAGAATATTGTTTGTCTTATTTATAGTTCTTCTTTTTCTTCCGTTTGTTCTGGTGGACTCCTTGAATTGCCCTCTCTTTGTAATGAGCTTGTCAATTTATGTTGTCTCCTGTTCTCAAATATCTTAACATATTTTAGAATAACTAGTTTAGGTACGTGCGGATGTACGTATTGAGGTGTTATTGAAATTTTTATAACGTAAAATATGAACATTTCGTAGAAAAATTTAAAAATAAAAATTACTAAAAAATTTTTAAAAAAGTATATGAATTGTAGTTTAAGTGAAAGCATATATATGATTAAATACATGAAACATGGTAAATGAGTTGAAACTTTAAAAGGAAAAGGAAAAAGAAGTTAAGCACCTAAAACTCACTGTTTTGGACTATCATGAAATTAATGTTACTTGTATTAATAGAAAAGATAAAGAAGTTAAAACTTAGAAAGGAAAAAAAAAGTAATAACACCTAAAAATCACAATTTTAAACTATCATAAAATGTTCTGTAGCCACATATAACAAAATAATAATAATAAAAGAATTGAAATTTAAAAGGGAGAGGAAAAAATAAAGCATGTATAACTGTAGTATTTGAGAGAATGAATTGCTCTCTGATTTTCTATTATTTTAGAGTGGAAGAATACAAAGAATATATACAGAGGAACTTTCCTTAAGTAAAGATCCTAGACTAGAGTAAACAAGAAAACAATCTCCACGAAATTAGGAAATAGTAACAAGGAATCTGGTAATATATTACTGGATTCTTCTCCTTAAATTATTCCAAAAATAAACAATCCCCAAGTAAAGGATTTCAGAGGAAAAGTTTCTCATTTCTTATTATTTGTTAGACAGAGACCTTCCTCTTAAATAGAGGAAACACAAAATACAATCACGGTAATTCCTCTCCCAAACTAAAGGAAATCACCATATTTATTTCTCTAAATGCCTACCAAAAATAACTCCAAGAAAATCAGGAAAACAATCACAAAGTCAATGCATGAAATTCCATAGAAATCACAGATTTTCCAACACTCCCCTTCAATCTGGTGAATATATGTTAATCATTCCCAGCTTGTCTACCAGAGCTTCAAAGTTTTGTCTTGTAATCCTTTGGTCAAAACATCAACAACTTGTTGAGACGAAGGTACATAAGCTCCACTATACCCTCATCAATCTTCTCCTTAATATAATGTTTGTCAATTTTCACATGTTTGGTACGATCACGATGAACTAGATTCTGAGCTATACACAGAGCTACTTGATTGTCACAGTAGACCCGTCAAGGAGCTTTGTGTTTAGTCTGCAATTCTTCCAATACTTTTCTAATCCAAATGGTCTCGCAAATTCCGTGTGCTAATGCTTTGAATTCGGCCTGTACACTACTGTGAGCAACTACACTCTGTTTCTTGCTTCTCCAAGTAATAAGATTTCCGCCGACCATAGTACAATAGCCAGACGTTAACCTCTTATCTTCAGTTGAACCTGCCTAATCAGCATCCGTAAATGCCTCAATATGCCTATGTTCAGTCTTTCCAAAAAACAAACCTTTACCTGGTGTCATTTTAAGATATCTCAGGATCCAATAGACTGTAGCAAAGTGTTCTTCATAAGGAGAATGCATATACTGACTTACAACACTTACTGCAAATACTATGTCAGGCCTGGTGTGAGATAGATAGATTAGTCTTCCTACTAACCTTTGATATCTTCCTCTGTCTACCGGATCTCCTAACTCCTTTTTCTTCCATTTTCCATTCATTTCTACAGGAGTTTCAGATGGTGGTCTTCCTCCAAGCATATCGGTTTCCTTTTCTTGTACGAGCCACGTCCATTCCTAGAAAGTATCTTAACTACCCCAGATCCTTGACTTCAAATTCTTTAGCCAACACTTTCTTCAATTCTGATAGTTCTTCAAAGTTATCCCCTATTAAGATAATATCATCCACATATACTATCAAAATCGAAACCTTACCTCTAGAGTGTATAAAACAGTGTATGATCAGCCTGTTCTTGAGTTAGACAATTTGCACACCTTATTACCACCCAACTCTCCTTCAAACCCTGAAGGTAGGTCCATGTACACCTCTTCTTCAAGAGTTCCATTAAGAAATGCTCCACTGACTGAATCTCCTTCTCTTTGGATTCTTCAAGAACAATACTTATGGTCGTAGGGTAAAATCTCACACCTCACATCATGCACTAGATGAGCGCTACGTAGCACAACTGGAGGATTAATGGCCATGCCAGCTCAGCATTAAGTATTCGCAAAATGAAACTCGGTAAAGGCTGACCCAAGATAAGCAAGAGGTCGATCGTACAGAGGAGTCAAGATAGGCAAGAGGTTGACCGTACAGGAGAGTCAAGACAAGCAAGAGGTCGACCGTTCTAGGTTGACGTAGGCAGAGATGGCTTGATGAGCGCTTAAGGAGCTGATTGCACGCAACCCGAGAAAGAACTGAACCTGCAGGATATCTTACGTGACTTGTAAGCAAGCGAAGTTGGTAGGGGAGTAGGTGAAAGACCACTGTTGACTGGCAGAAACTCCACCCACCGAGGACTACATCTAAAAATATGGAGACAATGTGATAGAGTGTACTGATGGAATGTAATGATTGAAATGACAGAGGTTGAGGGAAGATAGAGCAAATATATACGTGAAAAATGGCAAGCCAAGGGGCGCATTTCTGTAACTTGTATTCTTAGAAGATAGTAAAGATTTTTCTCCTCCTCACAGTGGACGTAGCTCTTGAACAAAAGAGTGGACCACTATAAATTCTGGTGTTCTTTCCTCTTGTTTATCTTTAAAAATATTCTCAAAGCATAATTAAGCCGTCAAAATCATGTTAATCACTTCCAAACCCAAATTAATCCAGTTGACGAATTTTCACCATCAACAATTGGCGACTCCACTGGGGATCAAACCCAGAATCTCCAGTTAATGTGAAGAATTCTGGTGAGAAAGATCCAATCATAAACCATGCTGCCCAGAAGAACGAGGAGCAGCACTACGAATTAAGGCAACCAAACCGAAGAGAACGCCGTGCTTCAGACCAATCAGGCCAATGGAGGAAGGAATGAAAATCCCATCGCGGCCAGGACCGAAGAAGCTCCGGCCCCAAACGTGTCTTAGCCCGTCCCCGCATAGATGCAAGCGCAGTTGAACGCCCTGACAGAAATGGTCTGCCACCTGGTGGCCACCATAGAACGAATGGACGGGAGAAACTCCATGTCTCCTTTAGAGAGCACCCCCCAAGACCACCGAGAGCCGCTGTTGTCGAGAACCAGGCTGTTGGTGACCAGCGCAGTGCCTTAGAAGGGATCGGGGAGAGTGAGAACACGAGGAGTAATAACCTCAGGCCTCGGCTGCCCAAATAGTTGGGAAGTAGATAAAGAGCCACCAGGAGACGAGCCCAAGAAAGGGAAGCAGCAAGCGGGTTAGGACAATCCCCAAAGGCGCCACATAGAGGAAACCAGGCCAATCATGCCCAAGAAGACTCTAGGTCGGTGCAAATGGGAGGGAGACCTCAGAAATGGACTAAACGCCCGTAAAGCTGAGGCTTCTAAAGTGGTCGACACTGTAATCTCCACTGAGGAAGCCAAGGCCATTATGGAGCGAGCAGCGGGCTTGGAAGAGAAGCTTATAGGTGATGTTGCCGGTTTAAAAAAAGACGTTAAAAGCAGGTGAATCACCTACAGAGAAATTTGGGGCAGGTCGCTAAGGTAGTTAACGTAGACATCACCCCAGATAGAGTCCATGATCATCTGGAGATGTACACGGGACATATGCTCCTAAATGAGTACTTCAAAGAAATAATGTGCCGAGCATTCTGGAACCATTTGATGGATTCCGCTTGCCAATGGTTTAGAGCCCTTAAGCCAAATTTGATCTCCAACTGGGAAGAATTGAAAGAAGCCTTCTCTTTGCAGTTCATTGAGGTAAAGAAATACGTCTCGCCGAAGCAAAACTTGACGATGATGGTTTATCAAAAATCAAATGAGTCATTAAAGGAGTGGTTGGCCAGGTACGGTGAAGCAGTCGCCACTACCGCTGATATGACGGACAAGGAGGCTTTGATGGGGGCATTGTCCAGCATGAAGAAGAATTATTCCTTCAAGCGTGACCTGAACGATTAGCTTCCACCTATAGAGAATTTTTGGTGAGGTTAATGCCGAGGAGGCTGAGGCAAATAACCCTGAGCACAAATCAAATAGAAACAAAGGAGTCGAATCATGTTCGACTCTTGGGAAGCAGGACAACCGAAAGTGGCGAGACAGCGATAATGGAGACAAACAGGTGGCCACGACCTCAAACCAAATAGAGGTAAAGAAGTCGAGGCAAGAGGAGAACTGAAGGTCTCGTCCGTTCCAGCGGTATGATACTTACTACGAGTTGACTGTTAGAGCGGAAGAAATTAATAACCAAGTCGGCAAAGGGAATATGCTGCGTTGACCAGAACCAATGAATTCAGATCTGAGTTAGAGGAACTAGAACAAGTACTGCCGATTTCATGGGGAGGTTGGACACAATACAAACGACTGCACGGATTTAAAAGATGAGATTGAAAGGCTGACTCCAAGAATTTAGGGCTGATAAGAGAGGCCATGGTTAGAGGAACGACAATTGCCGTCAAGAAGACAATTGGCGGAATGATGACCGTGAGCCTATTGGCATCATACAGATAATTCATGGGGGTCCGTATATTGGAGGAGATTCAAGGAGGTCTCAGCAGAAAAATTATGCCCATGAAGCAAGGCAGGTAAGAAAGGTTTTGGAACCTTTCATCTGCCAGGCCATCGAAAGCGCCAAGGTTTGACGGTTCAGAAATAACGTTCTCGGAGGAGGATGCAAGCAGGGTTCACTTCCCGCACAATGATGCGTTGGCGGTAGAAGCCATAATCGG